ACCTTGTTTGTCCAAGCCAGTCCAAGTACCTTAAGTTACTGGTCAAAATGGACATTGTTGAATGTGCAGCCATTATTTTAAAGCCCTGTTTACCCACTTTAGTTATAATGAATGTGAAATTCTTTGTTTACAAGACATACTCTGCTCTTAATCTGATTCTTGTTATTCATGCAGGGATGAGAGAGTGCACTTTTGAAAGTGGGGGTACGAAGGGAGTTGAGGAGAACCCTTTTTGAAGTTGGGATGTTAATTACTAAGAGAAAATTTGTCATTCTTGTAAAACGTGCCCCCTGCTATGCTGTCCCTTTCCTGATCATATATCCAATATAAAAATACAGATTACCATGACAGAAGTAGATAAAAAAGATCCAGATTGGTGTGGATATCAATGCAAGTCAAAACAGACTCTGTTCTACTATAACAAGACAACAGGACAACACAGATGGGCAGGTGGTGATSATGTAAGTCTTTGATCAATAATAAGAAATGGCCAACACCCARAAATAGATTTTTACTGTTCTATGCGAAGTATAGTCTCCTATGCAGCCGCTATTAGTTTCGTCAYGCCACGCTCACTCCCCTAAGTAGCTAGTAAGTGTTGTGTGACGAAACTAATAGCGGCTTTGTAGGAGACTATGCGCCGTAGCATAAAGACAAAATTTACAGTTTTAGATTTTTGACAACTTTCTGATAAGTTTTAATTGTGCTCCTTATCGCTAACCATTTAGATATCAGTGCTTCATGTTGGACGTTTTGATAAGCGGAGTTTGTACATTGACGTAACGATAGTGAAACATCAAGGTGAAGCGCCAAATCATAATTGGTTAGCGGAAAGAGAGCATAATATTAATAATAATAATAATAATAAACTTTATTTCAAGAGGGGACATTTGACAGTGGGAACTGATAAACTCATGGCCCTCAGCATGATTAAAACTTGTTAAAAAGATGTCAAAAAGAAATAATGAAAAACTTGTAGAACTATTCACAGTTTGGTGCATAGCACAGTAATAAAGAAATAAATAACGTGTGCTTGTGATGTATGCATATTATTTACCTTGCCGCTTGAAGACTAGTGGCTTGGTAAATATTCACAGGTGCTGTAATAGCTTCCGCTTTGGCGAATAATTGTTACTGTTACTAAGGCCCCAGCTAAACAAGGAAACATATTTACCATGYGCATGTTTYCCTGATGTTTCCCAGTTTAGCCACATGCAAACTACATTGCTGCATGCAGCAAACTTTGCTTCCAATTTTGCAGATTAATAAAAATGCAAAATAAAAAGGAAAAAAAGGCGGGCGGGCAGGCAGGTGGGCACGCACGATAACTTGGCTTATTTTTGTAAGAAAAATTGCCCAACAGTTAATGAATTAATCAATTAATTTATTAGGGAATCAATCAATTGATTAATTAATGTATTTTTTACCAAATTTTTAACTACATTCAACAATTCATGTTCAATTACATATATGATTATACAGCTTCTCATTAATCCCATATAGGTAACTGTCCAATTATTTTCTTAATTGGAGAGATCTTGTTGATATGGGATTAATTAGGCAGCCATATAATTAATAGGTAATGGAATTTCATGCTCCCCAATCAAGAAATAATTAGACTCGAAAAATTCCTCTGACTGCCAAATTGGACTCGGCCTATGGCCTCATCCAATTTTGTCAGTCCTCGGAATTTTCCTCGTCCAATTATTTCTTAATTGGACAGCATGGAGTCCTATTACATATACTAATTAGAGTAGTGTATATCATTGTATTTTGTAAGGCTCATTTGAAAACACAAAATGTTGAATTTGCACCATATAAATAAATATTATTATTATTATTATCTATTTATCATAACAAATCAGGTAGCCCACCTTTTTTTACAACTACATAGCTTGTGTCAGTAAGTACAAGACTTGACTGAATTAAATTTGGCATAACTTTGCATCAATTACCTCTAGGAACTCAAGAATGATATTCAGCAATCAGAGATGCAGTGCASACAGACTGATGAATGTGGCTGTGCTAATGGACATACAAAAAAAAGCCCAGATAAACATGTAAAACAAGGTACAAATGAGTGATATGTAAATTTTGATGATGTTGATATCAACATCACCATCATCATCTTCTCAACCTCATTAATAATTCATGAGGTGAATGACCAATGACGASTTTGCATTGTAGTCACGTGCACGCACCTTGATACTTGATCAAAAACGAATCAAGACACTGTTCTCAGTAGATTCAAGAACWAWTGAATTATGATGAGACTGAGCTAAGTAAGTTCAAATCCTTGTGCTTTGTGTTTGATCAGGGGATCCATTGTTTCGAGGTGTTTGGATGCCCTGATCAAACAATAATAATAATAATAATAATAAACTTTGTTTGTAGAGGATAACACTTGACAGTAATTCAACTGATAAACTTGTGGTCCTCTGTTAACGTCTCTAGTTAATTAGGGACGGGACCGCCATTAACGTGATCATCCGAGCCACGTGAAGGTCTAGCCATTTGCAGATRAAATTAAAAAGGCAGCACCTTCTCCTCAGTTATTTTAAGACCCTGAGTGTTGGTCCGGCCGAGGCTTGAACAACGATCTCCCGCACAACAGACCGACGCTCTTACCAACTGAGCTAGCCGGGTGGCGGTTTTGTTCTATTACTTCTAGTGCACTTGTTTATTTTCACCATTCTTGTCACGTGCAACTTAATTCCCGAAATAAGTTACTTATTTCCCGGTTGGGATACATCTAGATTTAGCTAGTGTTACGTGTTCATCTTTCAACCAATGAGATTGTTTGTTATATCGGAAAATTTCGTAGCTATATAACAAATTATTAAGATCATCATCATCATCACCAACTTTATTATCGTCATCATCATTATCACCACCATCCTCATCATCAACATCATCACCATTATATTAGCATCATCGCCATCTTTATTATCATCATTGGTCATTCGAAGGTGTTGTGGAATTACTTTCAAACGCGTTTAATGGAGGTATTTAAGATGCTTCGTTGAATATGAGAAAGACTGAATATCTCAACATTAGTCTTCTTGTGCTTGAAGATAATGATCAGAATAACTAAGATTTTAGAATCTCCCATTGCTTTTTGCCTATCTTTAGCTCCGGCAAACGCTTTTGACATACTTCAGTTATACACTTTCGTGAATATTTTTTGTTCTTTCTAATAGAAGACTCRGTAACATTGGACGGCAGTAGTTGCTCAGGTTGGACAGATGAAAAGGGGCTTCCCCAAGAAGAAGAAGAACGTAACGACTGTGAGATCTTAGAAACAGAAGGTGTCCGCGTTCGCAAGGGTATAAAAACATACGAGTGTATGTACTGCGACAATACATTTGGTACGCAACAGCATCTAGAGAACCATGAACGCATCCACACAGGCTCGAAGCCGTTCAAGTGTAAATATTGTAACAAGGCATTTAGACAAAAAACCACTTTAATGAAACATGAACGTATCCATACAGGCGCCAAACCATACAAGTGTTCGTATTGTACCAAAGAATTTACGAGAAAAGATTGCCTTCAGAGCCACGAACGTACCCATACAGGTGACAAGCCATATAAATGTACATACTGCGACAAGGCATTTAGTCAACTGAGTTCTCTAAAGGATCACAAACGTATCCATACAGGTGTCAAACCATACAAGTGTACATACTGTGACAAGGCATTTAGAAAAGCGAGTCATATGAAATCTCATGAAAGCACCCATACATGCAACAAACCGCATAAATGTACATACTGTAACAAGGCATTTTCAGAAAAACGCTATCAAAAAAGACATGAACGTATCCATACAGGTGTCAAACCATTTAAGTGTACATACTGTGACAAGGCATTTAGAGTACAGAGCTGTCTAACAAGGCATGAGCGAACCCATACAGGAGTCAAACCGTACAACTGTACATACTGTGAAATGGTATTTGCTAACCACGTTAGTCTACAGTACCATGAACGTGTCCATACAGGTGTCAAACCACACGTATGCACATACTGTAATAAAGCATTTAGACAACCACAACACTTAAGGGGACATGAACGTATCCACACGGGTGTGAAACCTTACAAATGTACATATTGTGACAAGGCATTTTCACACAAGGAATCCCTAGTTATACATGAACTTACTCATACAGGAGTCAAGCCACACAAATGCACATACTGTAGTAGGACATTTAGAGATAAAAGTGGTCTAAAGAAACATGAGCTTCTTCATGAGGGTATCAAACCATACAAGTGTAAATTATGTGGCAAGGCATATGTTGATGCAACTGGTCTTAAGTATCACAGAAGTACACATACAAATGCCAAACCGTACAAGTGTGCATACTGTAAGAGACCATTTACACATCAGCTTGCTCTAAAGAAACATGAACGTACCCATAAAGGTGTCGAACAATAAAAGTGTACATATTGTAAGAAGGCATTTACACAACAGTGTGGTCTAAGGCCCCGTCCACACTATGCCGGATAAATTTGAATCCGAATTTTTATTTATTCGGTTAGGCCTACCGTCCACGCTAGTCCGGGTGAATCCGAAATAATTCTTCACCGAAAACGATTTTTTTCCAATACGGTCTCCAGAGTGGAACAATCTGAAAACACCGGCTAGCCGTATTAGTGTGGACGGAGAACATTTCGTACCCGAAATTTTTCGAATACAATGACGCCATGATTGTCATGGCAACATGGCGGGAAGGCTAAAGACTCACCGCAGGCTGAATTTCAGCTTCCATGTGCATGCTCAGATGTGCAATGAAGCGTTTTTGCCGCCTCTGATCGGACTAGTGTGGACGCGAAACATTTTTTCATGTGTGGACGGAAAACTTTTTTTTTTCGGTTTCGGTGTGAAAGTTGCGGATTCAAATTTATYCGGCATAGTGTGGACGGGGCCTAAAGATACGTAATCATGCAGGTGTCAAACTATACAAGTGTACATACTGCGATACGGCATTTACACAATGGGGCAACATGACGAAACATGACGAGACATGAACGTACCCATACTGTAGTACAGAATTGAATTCACAAAATGTGTAAACTAATAACAAAGTTTTTTACGTTTTTAACTCAGAGGATGATACTCGGCTATCCCAATTGCCTTTGCGAGCTTATGATTGTTTTCTTTAATTTCAACCGGTTTATCTTTCTCTAATGATACTTCTGCTGCTACCGACACTAATAATAATTTCGCAATACATGATGGGGTAACCCTGAATCATCCTCTGTTGTCAACTTATCTTTATYAATCGAATCAATTGAATTTCACAGTTTTCTACTTTTTTATACAATACAAATAAGAAGGAACCGTTAACAGATACAGAATACCTACTTTTGGACGCTGACTTTAGGTTCTATACCCCTTGCACTAAATCCCCACAAAGGGGTGAAAACAGAAATTATAACATCAGAAATGTTTTAAATCCTATAACGAAATTATTTTGCTTTGACCTGAAGATTGGAAATTAGTGCAAAGGGTTAATTCAGTATCAAGTCAAAACAATAGTTTATGAGTTTGAAATGTAATATATTTTTATAAACACCCGTTGGTGCTGGAAGAAAAGTTGGGAAGGAATTAGTAATTTTGAAGAAAACTATATTGTTTTGTATAATTTTATGCAATCTTTTATAYGATAATTAAAAGGAATTCTTTACGAAAACCAAAGTAAACTTACCTATTGACGCCTATTACGAAACGAATGAATACCCCAACTAACGAACGAACGAACGTACATAAGCAGTAAAAATGATCAGCTGCAGAGTTGCAAATAACACGTCTGCATATTTTTCAAATAAATTCAATTCAGTTTTCACTCTCTTTTTTTTTCTCAAGGGCACGAAAAATAATATTGTTCCGCAGAAAATATCTTAAGGCAATCTCAATAGCACACGTTTGATAGTACAATTTGCCGTCGTTACGAAAGAGGCAGATCTTTTAAGCGTGACGTCAATCGTATGGAAAACGACTTCCGTGTCGAAAACGAAAAGCAGTTCTACAAAGATATTTCTTTGTAACATAATTCGGTACCCAAAGTCCTAATTCTTCAGGTGGAGCTAGAATCCGACATTAGAGAGTTTTAGATTTACGTTCACGGCAAACGTGAAACGTCARTTGACCAGTAAAACATTCTTTTAAATTACTGAAAGAGAATCGCAAAAAAGTCCAAGTAGTAGAAAAACAAAAGAGTATTTGCGCTTGGTGAGAAGGTTTGTAAAAGGTAAAGTAAAATACAGGAAAACTATGAAAACGTGGTCACGTTTGCCGTTTGCGGGGAGAAAAAAAGTCAATCTAGAACTCTCTATTGAAGAAATAAAAACAGTTATTGATGAGCAGGATATCGTTTATTAGTTAAATCCGCCAACGATATATTGGTCTATCATCAATGCTGTATTCTGATTGGATGAGCTGAGGCYATTTCCTAGGCAAAAATTAGAGTAATTATTGAATACTGAATGCCAATAATATGATAGCTGACAACACTTYTATTKTGCGTTTAGTTCTCGTGTGTGCAGTGAGACAGTTTTTAGGCTCTCGCTAAATTCCAATCATTAATGATTTGATTTGACGGGTGTGAGGAAGAATCGGGGTTTTGGGGYTCCTGTTTCGACTACTTGCGGTCAATTCTCGTTCGTYCCAAATTTCGAAAGTTCCCCCAAAACCCCGGTTTTTCCCCAAACCTACAAGAACGCCTGCTTTGCAGGCTATCAAAGATGACCTTCAATACTATAATAGATATCATTAAATCGTCTGTTTTTATTCTATTTCTGTTTTATAGCTTTGAACATGACAATTGCGAATTTGTAATTTGGCTCAACCCAACGTAATTCCAATAATTAGACCTCATTGTCTATTCGCCAATGAATTAAGCCCTCCAACTCCAGCCGTTGTTTAGCACAGCACACCTACGAGGTTTTTAAACAAACGAAGCCTAGATYGTTGACTATCTAATAACACCTGCAATAGAATTGTGGCAGGATATCGATATTCRGTCACGAAATRCGAGAGGAATATGGCTAGCAAAACAGTTCTCGTTTTGACAACATTTTACGGAGCACTATTACTCACTGCAGTATCTGCAAATGGTAAGTCATATCAACAAAACTAGGACAACTTAGTGAAACACAAAGTCAATCTAAAACTCTCTATTGATACTATTTCGCGCTTTAATTTATTTTAGTTTTTGTAAACAGTTGGACTCACATCACAACTTTAAAAAACGTGTTGGTAAACGCGGCAATTAAAGTTGTTCCACGACATTGTCATTACGTTCTCAAGGCATTTGCCCGGCTAAGAAATACCATGGTAACGTGCAACAATCTTACTTGTGCAATTATCAACTCGCATATTTTACGGAGGGAGAAAAACAGAGAACCTAGAAAAAAACTCGTGACACATTCTCTACTTTCACATCCCCATAATGCCTTGCGTCTTTGGGTCAACCCGTCAAAAAACTGTCCCAAATTGAAAGGTTACTTAATTGAATTTATACTATACCTGCTTTTGTCTTTACAATACTGATYATCAGTTTATTCCAAATTATTTTTGCGTGYACAGATCATCAAGAATTTTGGTCTTACAGAAAATGTATTGACTTACGAAAAAATGTTTAAAATTTAMCTTAAACGTCTTCAAGCTTCTACCTTTTTCTGTTTTTCACTTCTTCATTTTATTTTTGGATACCAAACAAAGTATTGTCAACAYTGTCTGATCARCCTTCAGCAAAATAAGTGGGTTTTTACCCTCTGGTTGCCCCCCAAAGACGCAAAGTATTATGGGGATRTGAAACTAGAGAATGAGGAGAAAACAACACATCAAACAAACTACTCACGTGTTGGCCACGCAGGGTTCGAGCTACCGACCAACGTTTTGATTGATTTATCAAAACTCACGTGACTATGTATAGGCGCATGCGTACGTTTTTCATAAAATTTCGAACTCACGACCCTCAACTCCAGCTATTAACTGAGCATTCAAATTTTGAATTTAACATGGCTCGAAGGATCGAGGATATCTTTCTGATCTTTCAGTTTTCTTTGCTTATTTCTTTTTCCTTGTGTGAATTGCAAGGTGTTTATTTTACGAGAATTCCATTCCATCAGTCGAAAGCGAACGTTATTCAAACTACTTTGGTTACGAATGTTCTTCAGTGTTGTATGAGATGCGAAAGATCAGAAGAGTGTGTTTCGTTCAACTACGGTGATCAACCTAACCGATGTGGTTTGTACAAGTGTGTACTGCTAAACAAATACACAGCAAGAGATTCTGGCTTGACAACATCTTGTGTATTTCACCACTACACTCGCTTTGTGGTATGTATGACTGATTTAAATCATTGATCTAAGTCAGGGCATTGCTTACAGTCAATTCAAAAAACGTTGTCGTCGACCGGCTCAAGCTTACGCGACTGGACCGAAAGGAATATGGGTAAAAATCACTGAAGCGGTTAAATATTCGTTCTGAATTAATTGTTCCCGCTAGAAATAAGATAATAATGGCGAGAAACAATCCATCAAATGCATGTCTTCGGGATTAGGGAAAGAAAAACAAAGTAGTTATGATTCAGTTCACAAGTTCACAATTTAAAAAACGTTTCCTTCGACACTTCCGGCTCGCCTACGAAGGTTCATGCTGTAAACAAGGGATAACTAGTCAGATAAAATTATGGAGTCAACTCGGCTTCAATGATTGCTACTCAGAGTTTCTTTCGGTCCGGTCGCGTAGACTTGAGTTTGGTCGACGACAACATTTTTTGAATTGACTGTATACTAACAGATAACTGAAACGAACTCTTAAAGGTCCCGTCCACAAGTATCCGCAAATTTTTGTATYCGCAAATTATTTTTTGCGGATACGAAAATATTAGTTTGCGTCCACACGCARCGTATTCGAATCGTTTTCACCGTCCACACGTATCCGTTTTCGTAAAATTTGYGGATACGGACACAAAAATTTGCGGTAACGTGTGGACGGGGCCTTAAGGTGGGCGCGGCTAACTTACAGATCCAACCCTAAAACAATCTCTGGGCTAATAAATTAAAGTCAGGGCATGGGCTAACTCACAACCCTGAAACCTAGACTGTTGCAAGTAAGGGCAAACATTTGAATACCTTTAGCATTATYCTAATTTTTGCGACCAGCAAAAAAATAAATAAATAAAAAAGAAGAAGAAGAAGAAAAATAAATAACCAAAGAAAGAAAAAAAAAACTTGATATTTCATTACGAAGTTCTCTCTTATCTTTTATTTACTTATATTCACCTTGCAGTAATCATTCTTCTTTATTAAAACAACGTTTATGCTTAGCTATCATCGATATTTATCACATCCGGGCTAGGGAAATAATTAAAAGTTTTCGATAAACATTAGTTAAGGGGCGTTTTTAACACCTGCAGTAACACCAAATCCATTCTCGTACCCAAAACTTCTCAGCTTTCCAACGAAAAATCAAAGGATATTTTCTTCGATTTTTGGGCGAGAAGGGTCTCGGTACGAAAATGTACCAAATCATCTACACCCTATGGCGAAATTGTGGATTGTGCTTTTACTTTTGCACAGCAGACGACATAAGTCGTGATTGATTAACTCTTAATTAAGGTATCAGGGTACCCCATAATTGCTCAAAAGTATCGATTTTTACATTTTTACATTTTGCGATAAAATATATAATATTCTTCGATTCCCCCCCCCACCCAAAAAATTTCGATAGTGATGTTTAATAGCGAGTAATAAAAAAAAAAAACGGTTTGTGTCAAAGGCGCTTCCGCTCAGTCAGAAACATTTTTGCGTTTTTCTCTGAAGTGATTTTGTGTTCAGTTACCCGAACATTTTGAGTCCGATGTCAAAGGGAATTTGACCGATTTAACTGAAATTTTGAGGTAGTCATCTTGGATAGATGTTCTTCAAAATTTTATCTCCGATTTTTTATTTTTTGTCTATTTCCGAAGTTATCGTGGATCTTGTCTTGCATACTGTGATATAGCATCAACTATACGATTATTTGAATGAAAACCAGTTATTGACGGAATGCCAGTCAGGCTTTCGTTCCCTGCACAGCMCTGTCACCGCGTTGCTCGAAGCAACGAACGAATGGTCAGTTAATATAGACAAGGGACTACTTAACGGAGTTATCTTCCAAAAAGTCTTCAACACCATAGACCATGAAATTATTTTGTCCAAACTATCGAATTATGGTGTAGATGAAGGCTCACTCAAGTGGTTCCGTTCTTATTTACTGACGAGGTCTCAGCTGTGCAGTGTTAACGGAAGTCTGTCTGAGCCTTGTACTGCGAGCTGCGGTGTACCACAGGCAGTAATTTAGGCCCACTTTTATTTCTCCTGTATATTAATGACTTACCAAATTGTTTGGCGCAAGCCATAACAAGAATGTTTGCTGATGATACCAGCATCAGCGTTCATGGTAAAAATGTAGGAGACTTGGAACCAAGCATCAACACTGAACTCACTAATATACATCAGTGGTTGTTAGCAAATAAGCTAAGCTTGAATGTAGCGAAAACGGAATTTATAATTATTGGGTTCCGCCAAAAGTTCACAGCGCAATGCGATTCCACTATTAATATTGCGATCAATGGAACTAGCGTTAAACAAGTTGATCACACCAAATCTCTGGGTGTCACTATCGATAAAAACCGTAATTGCT